GTCTTTATCAACATCGTGCAAATCTGGACCTGCTGATATGGCTCCGAGCAAATAGGAGGTCTGTGAAAACAAAATGTAAAGCTATGATCGGTATCTATCCGTATCCATTTCCTTTTACCGCAGAATGAAAGCATATTCTTTAAATCTTACCCTTGCTCCGGTTCATAGCGCCTGCAAGTAGTCTCCGAGTTGTGAAGACGGCGTACTGCTTCCTGTGAATCACAAAAAATGCACTTTAATAAAGCTTGTTCTTGCAAGGCTACTATTAGCCGTAGCTTTAGGCTAGGCTGTTATTAGCCGTAGCTTTAGGCTAGGCTGCTATTAGCCGTAGCTTTAGGCTAGGCTGCTATTAGCCGTAGCTCAGGCTAGGCCGCTTTTAGCTTAGCAGGCAGTAATCGAACATATATTTACCGCTAGCATCTCTTCTTTGAGTTCGTCTTGTTCGATGCAGAGTCGCCATCGCGTCCAAGAGGAGTTTTACCCCGAAATCCAGAAGCTCCAGACCGCTGCACAAAGCAAAGCATACATCCTCCACTGTGGATCCAGCAGCGCCGCTCTGAGTTTCTTGGAGATCGTAGAGAGCATGCGCGAGATGAACCAGGGTTTCCGCGGATCAATAAAAATAATAAAAAAATAATTCTTTTTTTTTTTAAATCAAGGCCTTAATTGGCACTAAAATTATTTAAATATGTTTATCGAAGTATTTATAGTTCTTTAATAAAAAATGCTTATATAAACAATTTCGTCAGATATATTATATCGCTCCAGGCGGAGAAAAAGCTAGAGGATATATATATACGTATATATGTGTGTGTGTGTGTGTTTACATACATACAGGAGTCATGGAACTGTGCTTAGCTCCATATTTCATGTACACTAATAACCTTTGTACATGGTTCTTGTTGATGGCATTAAAATCATTTCTAATAGCATTAAATTAGAGTCACTCATTCCTGTATGAACCCTGTGAGCGCTTAATTTAATATGACATATTAAAAAAATCCCACCATCATCCAGCATATGTTCAGTTTCTGCCCAAATATATATATATATATATATATATATATATATATATATTTGTAGATTTTTGTAACGGGGATAAGGATAATTCAAAACTGCTTTTTTTTGAATGAACTTGTTCTCTACTCCCAAACTCAGCATCTCTTTTCATTCCTGTAATAAGAAGTTTCTTTTGAATGGATTTGATTAAAGTTTAAGTCCCTCGGTATAAAATAAATATTTTGATGGCGATGAGAAATCTGCTTCCTCGTTGGTGAATAACCAATAGTTTGGATCCAATCATTTAAATAAACGGTGTTAGTTTTTTTTTTTTTTTTAATATATAAGAATTGTGCTATAATTTCTAGTCACCGATCTGTTGCTGCTATATTTTAATTTGACGAACCGGAATTTGTCGATGTTCTTTTTCCTGTTTGGTGCGTTTGCAATTGCGGATCTTGACCTGGCCAGACCTTATGACCACAGTGTACCAATCTTCTGATGGCTACTTCCAACAGGATAATGCGCCATGTTATAAAGTGAATCATCTCAGACTCATTTCTTGAAACTTTTCCACTTAAGTAATTGTGAATTGAGCATATTGACAGACAACATTTTATTTTTTATCTTAAATGCAAATTTTTTTTAAAATAATTACTGCTCTAAATGTATTGTTCTGTCAGCTAAAGATCTGTTTTGGTCTCTATACTTTAATTAAATAAATCAATTCAAGCTAAAATGTAAGAGGCTATACTGAGCCTGATCTCTTTGTATCAGAGATTTTCTTACCTTTTAGAAAAATGTCACTTGGGGTAAAACCCCCCCTGCAACCCTGGTTTGCATTTGTATAGCTCACAGCATGTTCATTTACATGTTAAAGCCTCCCCTAGAATTCCATGGGGGGGAGGCATGGGGGGAACACTGCCTAAGAAAGTCAACGTCAATTTATGACAATTTACGGGAGTTTTCGGCGAAGCCTGCAAATTGTCGTAAACTGCCGCTAACCTGAAGTTCCACGACAATCTACAGTGCCGCATATTGACGAAAATCCCACTTTTCATGCAGTGTCAGTAGCTTAGTGAGTGCAGTTTTTTCATTTGGTTTCAAGGGCAAATATATCTGCAAGTCGTTGGCATATAAGTGAAAAGACAGGTTGTGTTTTTTTTATAATTGAACCCAGAGGTAGCATATAAAGAAAACAAAATGGGGTCCGAGAATAGATCCCTGTGGCACCCCACAGGGCAGTGATGCCTTTGAGGAGCAGTGGTCACCAATCGCGACAGAAAAACTCCTGTTTGCCAGGTATGACCTAAACCACTGGAGAGCGGCGCCACAGATGCCGATGTGCTCTAGGCGAGATACAAGGACTGCATGGTGGACTGTCTCAAAGGCTGCTGAGAGGTCCAGCAGTACCAGCACAGCAGGATTCCCAGCCTCCACAGACAGGGCAATATCATTGTGCACCTTTAACAGTGCTCACTCGGTGCTATGTCGGGGTCTAAAACCAGACTGAAATTTCTCAAAAACAGAATTGATCTCCAGAAATGTCTGTAATTGAATAAAAAGAACTTTTTCTAAAACCTTAGAAAGAAAAGGCAAGTGGGAGACATGTCTAAAATTGGAGAGTACAGAGGGGTCAAGATACGTTTTTTTATGAGGGGCCGAACCATAGCAGGCTTGAAGGCAGCTGGAACAGACCCTGAGCTAAGACAAGTGTTTATAAAAACAAGCAGACTTGGCCCAACAGAGCTCAGAACCTCCTTCAAAAACTTGGCTGGAATAATATCTAAGGGACAGTTTGCGGGTTTCATGCCACTAAAGACCTTAGTAAAAGAAAGCAAAGAAATGGTCTCAAACCGCTCGAATGCAGCAGTCTGTGCCGGAGGAGCGCAGACATCATCAGAAGGCATATCACTATTACAGATATTCTGCCTGACAGTTTCTACTTTATCAGTGAAAAAGGACACAAACTCCTCGCAGGTTGCAGTGGAGGCATCAGACAGGACAGTAGGGCAAAGTCGAAAACAACAGGGAGGTGATCTGAGATAGCAGTGTTGACTATTACTGAAAGCCCATGAGAGATGACAAGGTCAAGTGTGTGCCCATACTCATGTGTTGGTGCATTAACAGATTGAGTGAGAATCAAAGGAGACTAAAAGGCCTTTGAATTCGTTGGCCAGTTGATTTGCTGCGCAACAAACATGAATATTAAAGTCTCCACAAATCAGCAGCTTATCAAGTTTTGGGAGAAACTCAGACAAAAACTCTAAGAACTCTTGAAGAAAGTCCTTATTAGATCTGGGTTGGCGATAACCTGTGGCACACAGCACAGTGTCACGATTTGACTATGGTGAGTTGACCCAAAAGCAGAGGCAGAGAGGCACAGGTGAATCTGTTGTGGATTTAATAATGACTTGACAGAAATCAGAGGCTGGTTATCCAGAAATCCAAAAGGAAAACAAAGTCCAAACAAACATGAAACCAGAAGTCCAAAAATCAAAAACATGAAAACACGTCTAACGTACCAGAAACCATGGGGACATCAGGGGAATCACAAACATAACGAGGAAGGCACAGAGAGGAGTTGGAGCATGTAGACGGTGTTTGACGAGGACGCAGCAAAGGGGAACTGAACAGAGAGGGCTTTTAAAGGAGACTGAGACAAAGAGGGGGCTCCGGCACCGAATTGAGAAGGACGACCACACAAACAGGCGGAAAGGCAAGCCAAGGACCAATCACAGCTGCTTTTTGTCTTTACACTTAAACTTGAGGTCTGTTTGGGTTTGTGACCGTCCAACACGTAGTCAGGATTTTTTTGAGGTGTGCGACGACGGTTGCAGAATCTCTGCGCGGGGCACGGTTGCCCACAGTGACAGATGTGACAGTTGCAGAGGCTATGCATCAGAAGCATAAATTGGCTTTAAGTCACCAATTTAGTGCTACTTGGTCCCAATGGAATTTCCCATTGGGAATCTACTATCACTAAGTTGCTAACTGGTTAGCAAGATGCTTCCGACAAACCGGCCACAACCAAACTTGCTTGCAAACCTTCCACCACAAACATCCCACCCCTTTGATAATTTACCAATCACATTCTCTTTATTCACCCGTGTAAAGTCGGGCACCACTCGGGAGAATTCGGAAATGCAACGGTTGGAACAGCCGCTTCCCTACGACTTTAAGGATGAATGACGTCGGGGGTTGGTCCTGCTGCATCACAGCTTCTTCTTCTGTTGATTGGCATCTCAGTGAAGTGATGTCTGGGGGAAGCTGGAAATTTCTGGAACCTTTGTCTCAGCCTCAACAGGGGGGTTTGGGTGTGACGGTAATTCAGTGGTCAGGCTTTGATCACAGATTTTTATTTTAGCAATGTTGCATCAGAACTCATTCATACACCGATGGTGAGCAGCTCCATTGTAGCCACAGCTGCTGTGGTGCTCAGTGACAGAAGGGAGGCTGCCGTACACCGGCTTTTATTGTTGGGTCCAAAACAAACCCATTCAGTGGTTTTAATGACCACAAATGCAATATGTGTTTGACTGTAAAATTATCGTGGGAGACTTCATTATCCATGCTAATGATCCTCAACATAGAATAAAAGAACCATGTGATACAATCAGAAATATGTAGTTTTTTTATCAGTTTTTGCTAAAACTGGTATTTAATGTCAAATCTGTTCACATCAAATGAGGTCCATTAGATTCCGAGCTTAGCCAATAATTATTTTCAGAAATAAATGTTGAATAACCTGCAGTGATAAATTAGAGTTTATTGTATTGGAAAAATCTCTGCTTTAGTATTAAAAGAATACAAAACATTCATTTACTTTTAATCTTAAACAACTTAACTTCAAAAAATTATGTGAGATCATTAAAAGGAAAAAATTCATAGCCTCACATTTAGTTTTAAATTAAAATAAAATATTTAAAAGCTACATAATAATGTTATTTAATAGACTATTAGTAGATGTGTGTATTATACAAAAACAATGGATAAAATCATTTGCTTAAATAGGATTTATTGTCAATACATTCTAAAAAATAAACAGCAAACATGCTTGATTGTGATAAAATCTATAAAAATAAATGCAGTGTCTCTGTTTCAGCTGCTCTTCCAGGTGTAGGCGTGGTCCTCCATCGCTATGTGGGTCAGAGCGGTTTTTCCCAGAGTGGGAGGCCGCTGGAGGTGATCGATGGAAGCAGGAGGAAGACCGCAATGAGTCACGTTTCCTGTTGTGCTGCTACACTGTAGAAAATAACGGGAAGCGAAAAAGAAAATAAATCAATAAAATTCAATTCAGCCCAGAGAAAAACTGAGGAGACAATTTATAGCAGTGCTAGGCCTGGGCAAAAAAAAAAGATTTAATGAATGAATTCAAATTTTTTTATCAATTTTTTTTATAACGGCCCTTTTTTTGCTCTGCGACGTTTCTGTAGCTGCAGTATTACTCTCAGGGATTTTGCTGCAACACACAAAACAGCAAACAGCATCATAACTACAGGTGAGGGAGAAGTTTGTTCTCAAAAGGGGACACAGTTACATGAACGAGTTGCAGCGAAGATGGCAGAAGCAGTGAATAGCGGCAGTAAACATTAGCAACACGCAAAGTTCCTGGCAGGGAGGCGAGTTTATTTACCTGCAGTTCTATTAGAATAAATTAGTCCTCCAAAACCCTGAGCACCCAGGGTGCAGTCCAGGAAGCTAAGTCGTAGTTTAACACACATCTCTGCAGCTTCTCTACTGTTACCCACTCTTTACTCCATCCAGTGTCTTGCCCACAACCAAAATCTAATAAATTAAAAAAGATTCCCAAAGGACTAAATCATGATAATCTAATAAAAATAAAAATAACTCCAATTGGGGAAAAAGTTAAAGGGATTAAATGTGGTCTGTTTAACATAAGATCTCTTTCCTCTAAAAGTCTGCTAGTTAATGACTGGATTGTGATAATCACATTGACTTGTGTTGCCTTACAGAAACCTGGCTGCAGCAAGAGGATTATTCTGCTAGTTTTCCTCACATGCCTGGAAGATGTCTAGTGCTGCTACTACAGATGATCTCGCTCTCCAAATGGAATTGAACGATTCAGATTAGCTGGAATGAATAGAAGGGGTAGAGCGTAGCCGCCTGTTGCCCGTCTGCCTGTTATGACTCCATGTATGATGTCATCCGCGCGCCACTTTGTTTAAAAAAATTATAAACATACAAAATATAACGGCGGATGTCTGGGGGACAGTGATTGGCCTCCATGTTCTGAATGCTGGCGTACCATAAAGAATAAATGATGAACAGTTTAGTTTGTGCCTTCAAGTTGTTGCCCATAGGAAGACGTTACTTGGATTACAAAACCTAATATATTCAGAACGGCTCCAAATGACACAGAACTAATATGGGTGATTAGAACATGATGGAATGACATAAAATCAAGTGCCTAATGTAAAAAAAACGGTGTTCCCCTTTAATACTTACAACTCTTTGAAACATTTAACCCTTAGTTTCCCTGATCCAAATTTCAAGGCAAGAAAACCTCTTCTTTTTGTAACTTTGTATCGTCCACCAGGTCCTTACTCTGAATGTTTAGATGAGTTTTCAGAGTTCTTTTCTGATTTGGTATTAAATACTGACAGGGTCATCATAGTGGGAGATTTTAACATCCATGCTGACATTGAAGGCGATAGCTTAAGAGCAGCCTTTAATGCTATCTTAGACACTATTGGCTTTGTTCAAAATGTCAATAGTCCCACACATTCTCATCTTCATACTTTGGATCTTGTGCTGACTAGGGCTGGGTATTGTTCAAAATTTTTCGGTTCCGGTACCAATACCGATACGTTCACTTTGATACCGGTTCCTGAACGATAGTTTTTTCGATACCAGTTTTATAATATCAATTCGAAGAAAAAGAAAATTACACAACATAATAAAGTACAAATCTTGAGTTTTTTTTTTAGCTCTAATTTTTCCATTTACATTTTTCCTCTTACATAAAAAAATTTCAGTGTCTAATATTCACTGTTACATTGTGAGGACCTTTTTACTTAGCAGTTTTCCTTTAGAAAAATTACCATGTCTGACAAACAAGCCTGTTGAATGGGATCCTACTGACAGCGCACCGCTGGTATGGGGGGGTCTGAGCGGCTCCCACAGAAATATTGTAATCTGGATGAACTGACTGCACTGATTAAGTTTTCAGGTGGATTTTCTCACTTAAAAACATAATAAAACTACTTTATTCCCACTGATCACAGCAAATACAGCTGCAAGGCAAATAAAGGATAGAGTAGCTCCGCCCAACGCGCGTCAGAGCCACTTATCGACCGCGCAGCCAGAGTAGCAAAGCTGCTTCAGCCGCGCGTCAGAAGCTGGTACAAGCAGCGAAAAGGAAGCAGCAGACGTGATTTTGCTGCTCCTGCTGCGTCCGGTGTGAAAGCAGCCTGATTCACTCCGCTCTGGCTTTGCTCCGCCCACGGGCTGCTGAGAGGAGGATTGCTGCGGTCCGCTCTTCTTGCTGTCAAACACCGAGCAACTTTCTGCTCTTAAATTGTTTCCGTGCCGATGTATTGCATTGCGCACTATTGGCATCAGTCTTAATAAAGTGAAGCCACACTTTTGACCTGGGGGGCATTTTAAAGGGGTTCCATGACGCTCGCAACCAGTTCACAACAGATACACATGAACCCTGGCTGTAGGCGGGACCACCTGTGGATTTTTCCTGGATGACGCAATCACGTTAAGTGTTCCAGCCAATCACCGAAACTTGGTACCGAAAGACGAGGCATGTTTCGATACTCTGTAGAACCGAAGCATTTCGGTCGGTACCATAAAAGTACCGAAGTTCGGTACCCAGCCCTAGTGCTGACATACGGCATAGAATGTGAAGAAATAACAGTATTTCCTCACAACCCTGTCCTCTCTGACCACTTTCTAATAACCTTCAGGATTACTTTAACAGAGTTCTCCTCCCCCAAAAGAAGGTTTCACTCTAATTTAATTTCAATTAAATTCAGTTTATTTCTATAGCTCCAATTCACATCATGTCATCTCAAGGAACTTTCCAGTTCAACCAGATCATCCAGTCAGATTGATTCAAAGTTTTCTATCTAAGGAAAACCAGCTGATTGCATCGACTCATTGACTCTTCAGCAATCCCTCACACTAAGCATGCTTGTAGCGACAGTGGAGAGGAAAAACTCCCTTTGAACAGGAAGAAACCTCCAGCAGAACCAGGCTCAGTGTGAGCGGCCATCTGCTGAGGCCCACTGGGGTTCAAGGAGACAGAAGCAGACATAGAAAAAGAAGCATAGATACAAAAGGCAACTGTCAACCAGCTCCACAGGCGGCCCCGTCCAGGAAACACACAGCCAGGCAGACGAGCTCCGAGCCAGCTCCCATGTCAGAGGATGAAGAGAGCACATCCAGTTAGTCACAGTCAGAGAAACAGGACTACACTGGAAAACAGGCTGGTGATCCGTTATTGTATCTGAGGTAGTCATGGAATCTGAACCGGGTTTAGACTGCTTTGATCCAGTTGAACTCTGTGAATTAGCAAAATTATTGTCTTCATCTAAGCCTTCAACTTGTATGTTAGATCCAGTTCCAACCAGGTTATTTAAGGAGGTATTCCCTTTGATCTCCTCCACCATTTTAGATGTGATTAATCTATCTCTGTTACAGGGATATGTACCTAAAGCTTTTAAGGTTGCTGTAATTAAACCTCTGCTTAAGAAACCGTCTCTTGACCCAGATGACTTGGTCAATTATAGACCTATATCCAATCTTCCTTTCTTGTGTAAAATGGGTCCTTGGCTGGTCCCCTAAAATATCTTTTCAAACATTTAAAATATTCTGTGATGCTGTGTGGACATTAGGATCAAAAGTTAGAGGTCATCTCCTGGTCAGACCCTGTAATTCAGTGAAAGGGTGGAGTCAGAGTTAAAAAAACCTGCACGCCCATGAGAAGGCCAGTTCCTGGAAGTTGGAGGGGAGTATGCTGCCAATTGGCTGGCTTTTGACTGGGAAGGGCCATTTTGAATGGCTGCTACAGTAAAAGCCACACCAGCCTATAAGCAACTGATATCTATTGAACTGTCTCCCACCAAATCTGCGAGGGGCCCCTGGGACGAAGAAGAACGCTAGCTCCTGTTCGCTTGTTAGCTCACAGCAGTAAGAGCTTCTGATGAAAGATGGAGCTTCATCAGCTCTTTATCTCAGCTCTGCAGGAGTTGAACCCAGTCTCTTCATTGGTTCGGCAGCTTTGATTCAGAAAATATATGTAAAAATGTGTGAATTCGGCACATTTGTTCTCCGTCGTGCGTGCTACTAGCACATTCCTGTGTTACATGGAAATTAGCCCCTTATTCTCTTCCCCCTCTGGGGGTTAAGAAAAAGCCGCACCTTCTTATAACCCGCAAGGTTCAAAGAGTGAGAAAAAAAAGTAGCGGTTTATAGTCTGGGAAATATGGTATTTAGATTTTTTGTAGTTTGTGTGTAATCTGACTGAAAGGTCATAATAAAATGTGTTTTGGTCTTTTAGGGGTCTCTGACATGTAAGAGATTATTGTGATATCATCTCTGACTCATCTTCCTTGTGATTAAAATCAGATCTAAGGCGCCTCCTATACATTCTGACCCAGCTGTTTGAACTGTGGTCTGACCCAAGATGGCTGCCCTGTAGCGCCGTCTGCCTCGCTGCCGACAACATGTAATGAGGCGTCTATGTATGTCTATGGAAGAGCCTTCGCTGAGCAGAGAGACAGGACATCAGTCTCTAGGATCCTCTCCTTCCAATGATCGCAGCCTCATCATGACTCCAACAACCCAGGTCAACAAAGTGTGGCTCTTAAATCAGAAGAAACTTGTCTTTATGATGCAACAGCGGTTTACTTTGTCTTTTCTTACCAAACGTCATGTGAAGAACTTTGAAATGCTGTCTCTGAATCTGTTCCGCCCTGATTCGATATTTTTCTAATGAAGGTGTTCATTCATTTGAATCTATAAACATCTTACCTGAGCCTCACATGTCTTTATGTTCATGACAGCAGTCGGCGTGTGGGTGTAAAGAGCGGCAGAGAAGTTGCCTTTTTGTGCAGTTTGAAGAAGAGTTGTGATGGCATGAAGAGAAGAAGGGAGGATGGGTCCTAAAGGGAGGAAAGACCTTTAGATCACTTGGTTTATGCCAGTTATATCACAGCCAATGATGTCATGATCAGGGATACAACTTTTTCCATTTCCCATACGACACCGGTATCACAGCTTTGAGAATTGGCATATACCGATATTGACCCGAAACTATATCAGCTTATACAGTAGTAGCCATTCAAAATTTCCCCGCTTCCTTGATGGGCCCTTGGTTGGTTCTTGGCTGGTCCCTGGCAGGCCACTGGCTGTCTCTTGGTTGGTCCCCTTCAATTCCTTTTTAAATATAAATTTTTGTACTAAAATATTCTTTCTGTTATGATTTTCGGACATTAAAGGAATAGTACACCCAAAACATGATTAGCCGTCATTTTCTACTCCCCCCCATGCTGAACAACACTCTGGAGTACTTTTTTTATATCTCAAATGCATCTGGAGATCTGGGAGGCTTCTTGCTGTCTGCTGACATTCAAATAATGGAGGTCTATGGCGCCCGAGGCAGAAAGGTCCATAAAAGTCCACAAAAAACGTGTCAATATTCCTCCATACTGCTCGTCCAATGTATTCCAAGTGTCCTGAGTGGGTAGCGTCCATAATTTACTCGAAACGAAGTCATTTAGAATGTTTTTAGAGCATAAACAGTAGTGTATAGGATTTCCTGAAAGCGCGCGCCTGCGAGTTCACGAGTCTACGGAAACCGCGGCAGACCAAACCAGATGAAAGTGCGCATTCAGCTCAGCAAAGAACTCATGCTCTTCCTCAACACTGAAGTCCTCAGACATTTTTCTTTCGTTGTTTCTTTCTTTGCACAGGTAAACAGCACATTTCTTCTTCTACGCTTGCATTATCGGCAGAGCAGACGCTGAATGCGCACTTTCATCTGGTTTGGTCTGCCGCGGTTTCCGTAGCCTCGTGAACGCGCTTTCAGGAAATCCTATACACTACTGTTTATGCTCTAAAAACATTCTAAATGACTTCGTTTCGAGTACATTCTGGACGCTACCCACTCAGGACACTTGGAATACATTGGACGAGCAGTATGGAGGAATATTGACACGTTTTTTGTGGACTTTTATGGACCTTTCTGCCTCGGGCGCCATAGACCTCCATTATTTGAATGTCAGCAGACAGCAAGAAGCCTCCCAGATCTCCAGATGCATTTGAGATATAAAAAAAGTACTCCAGAGTGTTGTTCAGCATGGGGGTGAGTAGAAAATGAAGGCTAATCATGTTTTGGGTGTACTATTCCTTTAAGATCTAAAGAGAAGCGCTATCTCCTGGTCAGACCCTGTAATTCAGTGAAAGGGTGGGTCACAGTAAAAAAAATATTTTGGGTTCACAGAGGTGATTTTGCTGGGTGTTGGCTGCCATTCGGCTGGCGTTTCAGTGGGAAGGGCCATTTTGAATGGCTGCTACTGTTGTAGTATTACTCAAACCAGTAAAACAAAAGGTATGAAAAAACTGACCCTGTAAAATTACCCAATGGGTTACAATAACTTAACAGAAGCAGAATGTTTCTAATTGCTCAACACTATCAGCTATTTCAGATGCTGGCCAATAAAATCCGATATTAGTTTGTATTCTAATATCGGACCAATAACTGATATCAATGTCGGATTGGGAAATCGCTAGTCATGATGTCCCGTTTCTGGTCTTTTTCTTTTATCCCAGACCAGATCTTATGGAATTCCATATTTCATCTCCCCAAACTCTCCTCCAACTACTCTGGGACTCCCAGGCCCATTGACAGACTTCCGTCCCGGGTCTTTGTCTGTTAGGACTTGCCTGGAAAATCGGCCAAAGGTTTCAAGTCCGGTTGGACTTCAGCCCAACCCTGCGATGTAGAGGAGTGATAGCTTTAATGCACACTCCCTTATCAAGTATTTGCCCTTTTGAGGCCGATTCTCCGGTTGTGCGAGAATATTTTGGATTGGGCCAAGTTTCAGCCTGATCGTGCGTCCTGTAGTTGCTATGCAGCAGTTAACAAGGGGCAACTAGCCTCTCACCACCACTTCCCGATCAGGAATCGTAAGGTCAGGAGAGATTCAACCCATTGCAAATTCAGTCGGCCCTCGCGAAGTGTTCCTTTTCAAATTCTGCTTTAGAGGCAGAGATACAAGCGTCTACGAGCAAATTTACTAGAACCCCCCGCATTCCTCATGTGCAAATAAGGAAGTTCTTCTCCTTGCAGACTGATGAGTACGATCAACATCATCTCTTGGCGCTAAGTAGCTGAGTTGTAGCTGAGTACAACGTTTGAAAATATTGTACAGGGTATGCCCGGCTTCTTTTGACCCAAGAGGGCCACTCCTTCAATCCGCCTTTGTCCCTCTGCCCACCCCAGGAGTCCCTAGCACTTCGCCTACCAGCCTGGTACTGAGGTGGATGACGCCATCATCTGTCTGCTGCAATGACTCCCTAACCAGTGCTAAAGGTAGTCTGAGGACTGGACCACCATTTTCCTCACTCACTACCCTCAGCATGTGAGCACAGCTCCTGTCTAACTCAGACATTTGCATCCTCTCCCCATTTCTACATCAACAACTGACTCGACTGGCGAGGACGACCCAGTGGACCCTGAATGTTACGGTCTTTAGAACCATTGACTTATATCTGAACAATAAACTGGAGCAAATATGATGTTGCTCCTTAACAGCAGGGGGCGCTCCTAAAGACCTGCCTTACTCTATAGTGGCATCTGGAGCTAAAAGGCTAGCTACGCTGCTCAGTAGGCCAGTTCTGAACCAGAATGCCCCTGGACAGTCCAGATGGTGGAAGACAGGACACAGGTAAAACTAAAGTCTCTAGGGACAAAGTCTCTGTCATCCTTCAGTGAAATATTGATGCACCCTCGGTGCACAAAGGAGTGTTGTCACAGATCCTTACTGGCAGCTAATAGACTTTATAACAGCCACCATAAAAACACTCAATATATATCAACATCTCCCGATTTTGCTGTGTTTTCATTCTGTTCCTGTTTTGTTTGGTGCATAAATGTACATTTTGGTTGTGTACCTGTGAGCTCCAGGCTGCTAATGTTGTGGTAGCTATAATCCACCAAGTTCTTCACATTCACACTGCGGCCCTGGAAAACACACAAATATTTATCTGGAGTTTAAAAATCTGTCTGTTTTATGGTTCATTTTCTTCTATAAAAGTGTTAAGTCCATCAAACAGACATTAACAAGGTACCAGAAAACATTTTTGGAAGCAAAATGTTTTAAAAACTCAATCAAGGGTCGAATCGGAAAAAAACTAGTAAGATCTTATTGCTGGACCTTCAGCACATTCATGGTAGCGCCTCTGAAGGCGGTGGGGGCCAGCAGGGTCGGTGGCAGACCAGTCTGAGATCCGGCCGCAGCCACAACACTCCGGTAGTTGATCAGGAAGTTGATGAGGTTGAAGGTGTGCGCCCCCTCCACACACACTGCAGACTCTGGTCTGTGGTCCAGGGTAAGACTCTGACCTTCTTTCTGTCTGTACAGGTGGTTAAGGAACCTTCAGAGTTTATAGTTTTTCTACCAATAAGGAGCAAAGCTATGGATTGTTTCAGAGCTGGAGGAGGATACATCTGTATGCTGATGGACTCAGGCTTCCCTAGTTTGTCCTGGATTCCCATCTCCTTTAGCCAAGACAGGCTGTCATCTCTTTTTTGACTGGATCCATCACCTTTCTGATCGTCTTCCTCAACCTGGAAGCTACAGCATTCTTTATCAATAGTTTTGTAGTCAAGACCATATCAACAGAGACCAAAGAGTACAGACATGACATTTGAAGGGCAAGACCAATACAAGACCAAGACCTTTAGAGGTCGAGACCCAAACAAGACTAAGACCTTTAGAGGTCGAAACCAAGGCAAGACCAAGACTTTTAGAGGTAAAGACCCAAACAAGACCAAGACCTTTAGAGGTCGAGACCAAGGCAAGATCAAGACCTTTAGAGGTCGAGACCAAGGTAAGAACAAGACCTTTAGAGGTCGAGACCAAGGTAAGAACAAGACCTTTAGAGGTCGAGACCAAGGTAAGAACAAGACCTTTAGAGGTCGAGACCCAAACAAGACCAAGACCTTTAGAGGTCGAGTCCCAAACAAGACCAAGACCTTTAGAGGTCGAGTCCCAAACAAGACCAAGACCTTTAGAGGTCGAGACCCAAACAAGACCAAGACCTTTAGAGGTCGAGACCCAAACAAGACCAAGACCTTTAGAGGTCGAGACCCAAACAAGACCAAGACCTTTAGAGGTCGAGACCCAAACAAGACCAAGACCTTTAGAGGTCGAGTCCCAAACAAGACCAAGCCCTTTAGAGGTTGAGTCCCAAACAAGACCAAGACCTTTAGAGGTCGAGTCCCAAACAAGACCAAGACCTTTAGAGGTCGAGTCCCAAACAAGACCAAGACCTTCAGAGGTCGAGACCCAAACAAGACCAAGACCTTAAAGGTCGAGAGCAAGGCAAGATCAAGACCTTTAGAGGTCGAGACCCAAACAAGACCTTTAGAGGTTGAGTCCCAAACAAGACCAAGACCTTTAGAGGTCGAGTCCCAAACAAGACCAAGACCTTTAGAGGTCGAGACCAAAACAAGACCAAGACCTTTAGAGGTCGAAACCAAGAGAAGACTAACACCTTCAGAGAGAGACCATATAAGTTCTTGGTTTTATCCTGGTCTCTGTACTCCTTTGTCTCTGTTAGTGTGGTCTTAACTACAACACTTTTTCCAATGATCCATGCAGTCAAATCAGGAAATGAAACTAGTTTGGAGGAAGTTCAGCACTTCTTTAAGCTACAGGGAAAAACTCACAGATCTTTTTCTTCCTCATCATCCTCCTCTCCTCTCTGTTGAACTTTGAGTTGCTCATTGACCCCGCTCCGTTCCTTCAGCAGAGGAAGGCTGAACTCCACACCTAAACAAAGAGATGGCAGGGCAAGCAAAGAGGGTCAGATTCTCCAGAACCGTAGATAGGAAAAAAAAAAAAAAGAACCGTAGATACATAAAACAATCAAGCAGACTTTTAAGAAGCAAAGTTAAAAACGGCTAAAGAAGGGAAATGTTTACTGCCACCATTACTGGGAGAAAATATGACAAGCAAAATAATATTGACTGGTGTAAAAATCAATCTTACCTTCAGTCTTCATCGCTTCCCTGAGACCGTGCGTTGTGGGAGAAATTATGGCGGTTATGCGGTCTGACCCAGCGAGACCTGCTGTCCTGAATAACGCTGTGAACTGAAGCAAGGCTGAGTCAATAAGTGACATAGCAACAGGAAGTAAGATACCAAGTAGCACGTAGATGTACCTGATAGGAGCAGACGTAGAAGTACGGACACAGACCTGCCTTTAAAAGGCTGTAGAGAGACGACAAACTGATGGACCTAAGGAACAGAAGAGGGAATGACTTTTTTTTCTTTAATCGGTTGGCATGGCGACACACCTCCCTCCTTGAATGCGTGTACTTGTGTTTATCTCACCATTCCTTCATGAGGCTCTCCTGCACCGTCGTATCCTGACTCCAGGGGGCGCTCCTTCCAGAGAAGTTCCTCTCGGCGTTGATCCTGGGGAACAGGGACAGCCAGGGCAGAGACGGGTGCTGCCAGTACACCAGACACCGCTGGAAGGCGGACCGGACCTCAGACCAGGACCGGGGATCCTGCAACGGACACGCAGCTCTACTGAGACCTGTGAGCACTCCAATTAAGGCCTTGAAAACGTAGTAGAAGGTAACAAACTGAACTCGACTTGGTAAATTTCTCGTCACTTCTTCGGTATATTCTGTCTTTTTCATGTCATTTTCATATCTAACCTGTAAATAAATGACTAGCATATACGCCAGAACCCGAGCGGACGCTGGACTTGAAACTCATTTTGCGCCTCAACATCGGAAAATGCAAGTTTCCGAATCTTTGGCTCTCCTAATACACTTGATAAGTAAACAATGAAACACGTTTGCTATGGTAAATTGGTTCCAACACCTCTTAACACCCACCTCATTTTGAAGCAATGCTCACCTTTTTTGCATACCCAAATGGAAAAAGCAAATAACTGAGGAACTGTAAGCCCAAATTACATAAATAATAGCTTCTAGTTTCTGAATTTACAATGCTCAAAAAAGGTGGGGGTGGTGGTGGGGGGGGGGGGGGTGGGCAATCAATGATATCAATTCCTTCATCCTCCAGGAACTGCCTGCATGCTCTCACCACATGAGGCCGGGCATTGTCGTGCACCAGGAGGAATCAAGGACCCACTGCACCAGCATAGGGTCTGAAAATGGGTGCAAGGATTTCATCCCGATCCCTAATGGCAGACAGGGTGCCGTTGTCTAGCCTGTATAGGTCTATGCGTCCCTCCATGGATATGCCTCCCCAGACCATCACTGACTTACCACCAAACCTGTCATGCTGAATGATGTTACAGGCAGCAGAACGTTCTCCACGGCTTCTCCAGACCATTTCACGTCTGTCACATGTGCTCAGGGTGAACCTGCTCTCATCTGTGAAAAGCACATGGCGCCAGTGGCCGACTTGCCAATTCCGGTGTTCTGTGGCAAATGCCAATGGAGCTCCACGTTGCCGGGCAGTGAGCACAGGGCCCACTAGAGGGCGTGGGGCCCCCAGGCCACCCTCGTGAAGAGACATTCACACCAGTGGCCTGCTGGAGGTCATTTTGTAGGGCTCTGGCAGTGCTCCTCCTTGCACAAAGGAGCAGATAGCGGTCCTGCTGATGGGTTGTAGACCTTCTACAGCCCTGTCCAGCTCTCCTGGAGTAACTGCCTGTCTCCTGGAATCTCCTCCATGCTCTTGAGATTGTGCTGGGAGACACAGCAAACCTTCTGGCAATGGCACGCATTGATGCGCCATCCTGCAGGAGTTGGACTGACTGTGCAACCTCTGTAGGGTCCAGGTAGCGCCTCATGCTAACAGTAGTGACAGTGACCCTAGCCAAATACTAAACTGGTGAAAAAGAGTCAAAAAAGATGAGGAGGGGAAAAAATGTCAAGTGGCCTCCACCTGCTTGGCAAGTCTTGAATGCATAACTTTACAGAATTATTTGAAGGTTTGTGAGCAAAACCCAAATGACTGCTTCAATGCGGCGTGGCATGGCGGCTATCAGCCTGTAACACTGCTGAGGTGTTATGGAGGCCTAGGATGCTAGCCTTGAGAGACCATCCTGATCTCGTGAGCTTTCAAGGTTTCACTCGCAGATCAGTCTGGAGACTCTCTGTTAGAGAAAATTTGGAGCCGTTCACCAAACGAACGTCCAATCAGCGTTGGCTTTGAGGCGGGTTGAGGTGTGACGCAACGAGAAGCGCGACAGTTCAGTCTAAAGAACATGGCGGCTTCAGCCGGTGAAACTAGCGTTAGCGTGGCTATCGAGCAAGTTTTATCGAAATTACAGAGTATTTCTTCACTGAAAGAAGAGCAAAACACTGCTCTGGAGGCTTTTCTCAGAGGAAAAGATGTTTTTGCTCTTCTCCCGACTGGTTTCAGCAAGAGTTTGTTCTATCAATTGGCTCCTCTTCGTTGTTGCTCTGTTAGTACGTCATATGCCGCGTTGATCTGATTGGTTTATTTGGCCCGTCTATCACCAACATAGGCCAATCAGCTAACCAGTATTTTCGCCCCTTCCCAAAATTACTTCAACGGAAGGTTTCCAGATGGATATGCAGAGCAAATCCATCTGGCGGAGTCAGGTTAGCAGGATTCTGCCATAGCGGCCTTTAGCTCATTCACAGTGTTGGGTCTTGTGTCTCTCAACTTTCTCTTCATAGTATCCCTCAGATTCTCTATGGGGTTCAGGTCAGGAGAGTTGGCAGGTCACCTGAGCCCAGTGATACCATGGGCAGTAAACCATTTACCAGTGGTTTTGGCTCTGTGAGCAGGTGCCAGGTCGTCTTCATCTCCATGAGGCTTTTCAGCAGATGGAAGCATGAAGTGCTCTAAATTCTCCTGATAGCTGCATTGACCCTGCCCTTGATAAAACCCAGTGGACCACAGTGTTTCCCCATTAATGAAGGTTTGGGCCCGCCATGGTCTTATATAGACACACAGAGAGAGAAAACAACAAAAGATCTGTCTGTTTATCAGACCATTCCTTAGCTGTACTTTCATACCGCCTGTAACCAAGCGCCATAGAGAGACAAATTGTTTGTTATATTCTTTTCAAAGCGCGCGGCCCGCCCTCCTTTATAAAAATGCCGCTGCAGCTGCCCGGTTCGCCCGAGCAGTCTTGCCAACTCAGCGACTTGGTCGCTATAGCTGCTGGACGCGCCTCATCAACCAATGAGAGAAGCTGATCTGGGAGCTGGCAGGGAGTCAGACGCAGCACTTCTGATGCAGAGCGCTATGATCACTCCTCTGAAACAGTTTATTAACGCCTAAATTAACTTCAAATGTAGAAACCTGCCGGCAGAATATGTTGGCTTTTAGGAAAAATATTAACATCCAGTAAAGTGAGTCCAGATTCATCTGATGTTTCTGCGGCTCCTGTGTTCAATGCCAGAGAACAGCTTTGCTATATTATGTTATTTTTATATTCCTAAAAATAACAAGCTAAAGCTTGTACGGCTAGTGTTGCTAAAAAATAACAAGCTAAAGCTTGTACGGCTAGTGTTGCTAAAAAATAACATGCTAAAGCTTGTATGGCTAGTGTTGCTAAAAACAACATGCTAAAGCTTGTATGGCTAGTATTTCTAAATACAACAAGCTAAAGCTTGTTCGGCTAGCATTCCTAAAAATAACAAGCTAAAGCTTGTTCAGCTAGCATTCCTAAAAACAACATGCTAAAGCTTGTATGGCTAGTATTTCTAAAAACAACATGCTAAAGCTTGTACGGCTAGTATTGCTAAAATTAACATGCTAAAGCTTGTACGGCTAGTATTGCTAAAAATAACATGCTAAAGCTTGTAGGGCTAGCATTCCTAAAAATAATATACTGAAGCTTGTATGGCTAGTATTTCTAAAAATAACATGCTAAAGCTTGTACGGCTAGTATTGCTAAAAATAACATGCTAAAGCTTGTACGGCTAGCATTCCTAAAAATAATATACTGAAGCTTGTATGGCTAGTATTTCTAAAAATAACATGCTAAAGCTTGTACGGCTAGTATTGCTAAAATTAACATGCTAAAACTTGTATGGCTAGTATTGCTAAAAACAACATGCTAAAGCTTGTCCAGCTAGCATTCCTAAAAACAACATGCTAAAGCTTGTATGGCTAGTATTGCTAAAAACAACATGCTAAAGCTTGTACGGGTAGCGTTGCTAAAAATAACATGCTAAAGCTTGTACGGCTAGTATTGCTAAAATTAACATGCTAAAGCTTGTACGGCTAGTATTGCTAAAAATAACATGCTAAAGCTTGTAGGGCTAGCATTCCTAAAAATAATATACTGAAGCTTGTATGGCTAGTATTTCTAAAAATAACATGCTAAAGCTTGTACGGCTAGTATTGCTAAAAATAACATGCTAAAGCTTGTACGGCTAGCATTCCTAAAAATAATATACTGAAGCTTGTATGGCTAGTATTTCTAAAAATAACATGCTAAAGCTTGTACGGCTAGTATTGCTAAAATTAACATGCTAAAACTTGTATGGCTAGTATTGCTAAAAACAACATGCTAAAGCTTGTCCAGCTAGCATTCCTAAAAACAACATGCTAAAGCTTGTATGGCTAGTATTGCTAAAAACAACATGCTAAAGCTTGTACGGGTAGCGTTGCTAAAAATAGCATGCTAAAGCTTGTACGGCTAGTGTTGCTAAAAATAACATGCTAAAGCTTGTACGGCTAGTGTTGCCAAAAATAGCATGCTAATGTTGCTAAGAATAACATGCTAAAACTTGTACGGCTAGTATTGCTAAAATGAACATGCTAAAGCTTATACGGCTAGCATTCCTAAAAAAATAAAATGCTAAAGCCACCCATTGGTGGCGCCACCGCTAGTCAAGCACACATACTTCCCATAAATAGGGCTGAATAATTTTTGCCCAAAATTTATTTCCAACCAATATTGCGATTTTATTTTGATTTTCCTTTGAACTCATCTCCAGCATGAGGTTTCCCTCCAGTGCTTCAGTTTTTAATTAACTTGTCCAAAGACTGTTTTTGCGAATTTCAATTTTAACCTTTGTTTGAAAAAAGAGCCAACGTCTACTTGCTAGCGTAGATCAGAGTGCGAGTTGGAAGCTTCTTTTTCCTCTGTTGTGGCAGCAAATCCAATTTAAAGGTACGACAGTCACATAAAGAGTTGGAGCGAGAAAAAAAAACTTTTATTCTTGTTAAATTAACTTAAAATTTAGTGCCTCTGCGATTTCTAAATGGCGATTTCTTAAATTGCGATTATATTGGTAAAGCAATTAAATTCCCAGCCCTAGTTGACGCGTTCCTTTAATTTTGTTTTAGGAGTGTACTTATATTTAAGTTAATTTCACATTTAATTATTTGATTCTGCATTTGTTAAATAGTTTATATAATTATGTAATGTGACAGTTTAATTTATTTATTTAATGGTATCTACTTTTGTCCCCTTTAAGCCTCCGTAGCCAGAAGCTGCAAATATCCATAATAATTGTATTTTGATGATCATTATGGGTTTAGGTTGATGAAATTTACAACACTTTTACAACAGGTTTTCTAATGGTAACCACGGGAAGTTTGGATACATTTTCACTGCATATCCAATGTCAGAGAGCGCCTCCTGATGGTAGATGATGGAGTATTTCTGCGTTTAGCTCTGAGTTTGCCTCTAAGGAGAACCTGAATCCTTTCTGAGCTAACGACCCTTTCAATCAGCGATCCGTGTTTTTAATTCAGCCATCTTGGAGTCTAGCTACCTCCAGATCCTCCGGCAGAGCGTCAAACCGAGCTCTGCAGCTGTTGCTGAGGCCCGCCGCCTCCTCCTGGGCCTTCGGCTGCTCCGTCCACGACAACGACAGCGGGGAGGTGAAGAGCGCCCGGGTTTTCAGGCTCCAGTCGGTCGGATACTCCGCACAGCTGCTGGGAGGACTGGCCGGCAGCTTCTGAAACACAGACGGCGACATATGAGCTCCGTTCAGCCATGATTCTGGCAGCGAACTTGGAAGAAAAGTTCACCTCCGGCAGCAGAACATCTGGCTCCTCGGTTTCCAGCAGAGAAACGTCTTCAGGGAGGCTTTTCTACGACAGAACAAGCAGGGATTTAATGCACAGCTGGAAGAGAACAGAAATACCTTCACTGTCCAGCAGGGGGAGCTCTGATGCACTAGTTAAGATTTGCTAGTCTTTGTTCGCGTTTCGCTACTTCAGCAGGTTTTGTTTCGTTGAAGCGTTTCCACTGAACGCCCAGAGGTGCGCATTACCCAGTCAACAGGAATCCTGATTAGCAGACGGAGAGTAGTGGCAGTAATTATTATACGGGAGGTATGTTTCTCGTTTCGCCACCAGATTGAGCTGTGGGGCTGTTAATGAGGAGACATTCATATAATAATATTTTTTTTTTTTACTTATTTCAAAACATTTTTATGGCATTTAAAAAAGCAGAGAATCAATAATATTTTATCTAAAGTGAATAAAATAAAGCTATAATTTCCTAAAAATATTGTTGGTAGTGTTGGAGGGCTAGCAAGATTTAAAAGTGGCCATCAAATTCACCTGCAAATAAACTACATCACTAGTGTGGCTTTCAAGGTAGCATGCTAGGTTAGCAATACTAGCTGTACAAGTTTTAGCATAACAGCCGTACAAGTTTTAGACTTTAGACAGATTTTATTTGTCATTTTGTTTACACAAGTTGAATAAATATATATATGTTTAAGCTGCGGGGGGGGGGTCTCTCCCTTATGCAAAAGGCGAATAGAAGCTTCGTTGTCCACCATTTTTTGTAACACTCCATCTAATAGACCTGCACTCCAATCAATGGACCCGGGGAAGCCATGACGGTTTTCAACAAAGTGTAAAACAGAAAGAATATTCGTTTGGAAACAGCTCACTGGGCGATTTCATCTTTTAAAAGTGCAGCCTTAAAAAACAGTAAAAAAAATACTGTAGATTTACACTTCTAACATTTAAGAGAGGGGAGGAGAAAAGGAGCACGATAAAGGTCTGTTTGCATGATTATGATAATGGTTTTGTATCGATCCAACAGCCGACGATCCCATGCAAGAGAAGAGTCCGCAAGAGAATCCATTCATGTTTTTTTCCCTCTGGTCTATTTTTATCCATTTGCTCCTGGGCGTAATTCTTCCTCCCGTGCTGCGGTGGCGCTAAACCCTCCTGTGTGATTTACAGCCCTATTATTCATGGTGTGTTTGCTGCAGCAGACGCATTGCTGCAATGTGGCAGCAACCAGTGGCTGAGCTTTAAATCACCGTCATTTGTTTGTCAATTAAGAATTATGGCGCCTTTTGTAAAGGCGTACTGAAGTTAAAAAACAGAACAAAATGGAATTTGTTTTTCTTTAATTAAAGACGCTGCAGTCAAATTTACCTTTTACAGTTCAGCTTTCTTTTAAATGTTGTTTTTGTTAACCCCTAGAACCCTACGGACCCACCGGCGGGTCCAGCTGCTACGTGACCTCGTAGTTTTACCAAACCCCCAGTATTGATGTAAAAAACATATTTGGCACAGTTTGGTGACATTTATGGATAAATGTGCCAAAATGGCCTCTCCGCCTAAGAAATTTCTCACTAATACCATTCTAAAATAAATATGATTCATCTGATTGAGTCCAAATTTGGTATATTTTTACACAACATTTAGATTTAAAAGTCTGTACTACTTTTTTGTACTATAAATAATATTTTGGTAGTGTTTTGCAATGTTTATTTCAAAGAAAATTTTGGCGAGGTTCAAAAAATGCAAAATATTTTGTATTTTGTCCCTAATATTTCAGGCAGGGTCAAAGCTACAATGGTGCTGACACCAGAAAACCATTCTATGACATCTTACCTTTAAAGACGTACCAAAAGTTTCTTCTTAAATCTAATAGCTTTGAGGCTATAAGTTATTTACTTTTGTGTGTTTTTGTCAGGCAGAAATTTATTTATACCCCCTGAGGGTGTAAGAGGTTAAGTTCAGTGGGAGAAATGAGGCATATCTGTGCCATTACTGCCCTCTCATCTGCGTTCATTAAAGTGTCTTTTTTTATAACCTTTTTTAATGTTTAAGCGCCATGTTTCAAAGGAAATGTTGCCACATAGTTGGTCATTTAACAATATATAAACACATCTGAGAAATCAATAGATTAGAATAAAGAAAAACAGATGGTGCAATAACGTCGCAATATTCAGCCTCCCTGAATAATTCCTTAAACGCGACAAGTTAGAAGAACTCTGCTTTAATGGAAGTGTGAAAAGCTTCCTTTCCTTCATTCCTTCCTTTCCTGCTTTCCTTCCTTTCCTGCTTTCCTTCCTTTCCTGCTTTCCTTCCTTTCCTGCTTTCCTTCCTTTCCTGCGTTCCTTCCTTTCCTGCTTTCCTTCCTTTCCTTCCTTTCCTGCTTTCCTTCCTTTCCTGCTTTCCTTCCATTCCTTCCTTTCCTGCGTTCCTTCCTTTCCTGCTTTCCTTCATTTCCTTCCTTTCCTGCTTTCCTTCCTTTCCTGCTTTTCTTCCTTTCCTGCTTTCCTTCCTTTCCTGCTTTCCTTCCTTTCCTGCTTTCCTTCCATTCCTTCCTTTCCTGCATTCCTTCCTTTCCTGCTTGCCTTCCATTCCTTCTTTTCCTTCCTTTCCTGCTTTCCTTCCTTTCCTGCCTTCCTTCCTTTCCTTCCATTCCTGCTTTCCTTCCTTTCCTGCGTTCCTTCCATTCCTGCTTTCCTTCCTTTCCTGCGTTCCTTCCATTCCTGCTTTCCTTCCTTTCCTGCGTTCCTTCCATTCCTTCCTTTCCTGCTTTCCTTCCATTCCTTCCTTTCCTGCTTTCCTTCCTTTCTTCCTTTCCTGCCTTCCTTCCTTTGCTTCCATTCCTGCTTTCCTTCCTTTCCTGCGTTCCTTCCATTCCTGCTTTCCTTCCTTTCCTGCGTTCCTTCCATTCCTTCCTTTCCTGCTTTCCTTCATTTCCTTCCTTTCCTGCTTTCCTTCCTTTCCTGCTTTCCTTCCATTCCTTCCTTTCCTGCGTTCCTTCCTTTCCTGCTTTCCTTCATTTCCTTCCTTTCCTGCTTTCCTTCCTTTCCTGCTTTTCTTCCTTTCCTGCTTTCCTTCCTTTCCTGCTTTCCTTCCTTTCCTGCTTTCCTTCCATTCCTTCCTTTCCTGCGTTCCTTCCTTTCCTGCGTTCCTTCCTTTCCTGCTTGCCTTCCAATCCTTCCTTTCCTGCGTTCCTTCCATTCCTTCCTTTCCTGCTTTCCTTCCATTCCTTCCTTTCCTGCTTTCCTGCTTTCCTTCCTTTCTTCCTTTCCTGCCTTCCTTCCTTTGCTTCCATTCCTGCTTTCCTTCCTTTCCTGCGTTCCTTCCATTCCTGCTTTCCTTCCTTTCCTGCGTTCCTTCCATTCCTTCCTTTCCTGCTTTCCTTCATTTCCTTCCTTTCCTGCTTTCCTTCCTTTCCTGCTTTCCTTCCATTCCTTCCTTTCCTGCGTTCCTTCCTTTCCTGCTTTCCTTCATTTCCTTCCTTTCCTGCTTTCCTTCCTTTCCTGCTTTTCTTCCTTTCCTGCTTTCCTTCCTTTCCTGCTTTCCTTCCTTTCCTGCTTTCCTTCCATTCCTTCCTTTCCTGCGTTCCTTCCTTTCCTGCGTTCCTTCCTTTCCTGCTTGCCTTCCAATCCTTCTTTTCCTTCCTTTCCTGCTTTCCTTCCTTTCCTGCCTTCCTTCCATTCCTGCTTTCCTTCCTTTCCTGCGTTCCTTCCATTCCTTCCTTTCCTGCTTTCCTTCCATTCCTTCCTTTCCTGCTTTCCTTCCTTTCCTGCTTTCCTTCCTTTCTTCCTTTCCTGCCTTCCTTCCTTTCCTGCCTTCCTTCCTTTCCTTCCTTTCCTGCTTTCCTTCCTTTCCTGCTTTCCTTCCTTTCCTGCTTTCCTTCCATTCCTTCCTTTCCTGCGTTCCTTCCTTTCCTGCTTTCCTTCCTTTCCTGCTTTCCTTCCATTCCTTCCTTTCCTGCTTTCCTTCCTTTCCTGCCTTCCTTCCTTTCCTTCCATTCCTGCTTTCCTTCCTTTCCTTCCTTTCCTGCGTTCCTTCCATTCCTGCTTTCCTTCCTTTCCTGCGTTCCTTCCATTCCTGCTTTCCTTCCTTTCCTGAGTTCCTTCCATTCCTTCCTTTCCTGCTTTCCTTCCATTCCTTCCTTTCCTGCTTTCCTTCCTTTCTTCCTTTCCTGCCTTCCTTCCTTTCCTTCCATTCCTGCTTTCCTTCCTTTCCTGCGTTCCTTCCATTCCTGCTTTCCTTCCTTTCCTGCGTTCCTTCCATTCCTTCCTTTCCTGCTTTCCTTCATTTCCTTCCTTTCCTGCTTTCCTTCCTTTCCTGCTTTCCTTCCTTTCCTGCTTTCCTTCCATTCCTTCCTTTCCTGCGTTCCTTCCTTTCCTGCTTTCCTTCATTTCCTTCCTTTCCTGCTTTCCTTCCTTTCCTGCTTTTCTTCCTTTCCTGCTTTCCTTCCTTTCCTGCTTTCCTTCCTTTCCTGCTTTCCTTCCATTCCTTCCTTTCCTGCGTTCCTTCCTTTCCTGCTTGCCTTCCAATCCTTCTTTTCCTTCCTTTCCTGCTTTCCTTCCTTTCCTGCCTTCCTTCCATTCCTGCTTTCCTTCCTTTCCTGCGTTCCTTCCATTCCTGCTTTCCTTCCTTTCCTGCGTTCCTTCCATTCCTGCTTTCCTTCCTTTCCTGCGTTCCTTCCATTCCTTCCTTTCCTGCTTTCCTTCCATTCCTTCCTTTCCTCCTTTCCTTCCTTTCCTGCTTTCCTTCCTTTCTTCCTTTCCTGCCTTCCTTCCTTTCCTGCCTTCCTTCCTTTCCTTCCATTCCTGCTTTCCTTCCTTTCCTGCTTTCCTTCCTTTCCTGCTTTCCTTCCATTCCTTCCTTTCCTGCGTTCCTTCCTTTCCTGCTTTCCTTCCTTTCCTTCATTTCCTTCCTTTCCTGCTTTCCTTCCTTTCCTTCCATTCCTGCTTTCCTTCCTTTCCTGCGTTCCTTCCATTCCTTCCTTTCCTGCTTTCCTTCCTTACTTCCTTTCCTTCCATTCCTGCTTTCCTTCCTTTCCTGCGTTCCTTCCATTCCTTCCTTTCCTGCTTTCCTTCCATTCCTGCTTTCCTTCCTTTCCTGCTTTCCTTCCGTTCCTGCGTTCCTTCCATTCCTGCTTTCCTTCCTTTCCTGCGTTCCTTCCATTCCTGCTTTCCTTCCTTTCCTGCTTTCCTTCTGTTCCTGCGTTCCTTCCTTTCCTGCTTTCCTTCCTTTCCTGCGTTCCTTCCATTCCTGCTTTCCTTCCTTTCCTGCGTTCCTTCCATTCCTTCCTTTCCTGCTTTCCTTCCATTCCTGCTTTCCTTCCTTTCCTGCTTTCCTTCCGTTCCTGCGTTCCTTCCGTTCCTTCCTTTCCTGCTTTCCTTCCATTTCTGCTTTCCTTCCTTTCCTGCTTTCCTTCCGTTCCTGCGTTCCTTCCATTCCTTCTTTTCCTGCTTTCCTTCCATTCCTTCCTTTTCTGCTTTCCTTCCATTCCTGCTTTCCTTCCATTCCTGCTTTCCTTCCTTTCCTGCTTTCCTTCCTTTCCTGCTTTCCTTCCATTCCTGCTTTCCTTCCTTTCCTGCTTTCCTTCCTTTCCTGCGTTCCTTCCATTCCTTCCTTTCCTGCTTTCCTTCCATTCCTGCTTTCCTTCCTTTCCTGCTTTCCTTCCTTTCCTGCTTTCCTTCCTTTCCTGCTTTCCTTCCTTTCCTGCGTTCCTTCCATTCCTTCCTTTCCTGCTTTCCTTCCATTCCTGCTTTCCTTCCTTTCCTGCTTTCCTTCCTTTCCTGCGTTCCTTCCATTCCTTCCTTTCCTGCTTTCCTTCCATTCCTGCTTTCCTTCCATTCCTGCTTTCCTTCCTTTCCTGCTTTCCTTCCTTTCCTGCTTTCCTTCCTTTCCTGCGTTCCTTCCATTCCTTCCTTTCCTGCTTTCCTTCCTTTCCTGCGTTCCTTCCATTCCTTCCTTTCCTGCTTTCCTTCCATTCCTGCTTTCCTTCCTTTCCTGCTTTCCTTCCTTTCCTGCGTTCCTTCCATTCCTTCCTTTCCTGCTTTCCTTCCATTCCTGCTTTCCTTCCTTTCCTGCTTTCCTTCCTTTCCTGCTTTCCTTCCATTCCTGCTTTCCTTCCTTTCCTGCTTTCCTTCCTTTCCTGCGTTCCTTCCATTCCTTCTTTCCTTCCATTCCTGCTTTCCTTCCATTCCTGCTTTCCTTCCTTTCCTGCTTTCCTTCCATTCCTGCTTTCCTTCCTTTCCTGCTTTCCTTCCTTTCCTGCGTTCCTTCCATTCCTTCCTTTCCTGCTTTCCTTCCATTCCTGCTTTCCTTCCTTTCCTGCTTTCCTTCCTTTCCTGCTTTCCTTCCATTCCTTCCTTTCCTGCTTTCCTTCCATTCCTGCTTTCCTTCCTTTCCTGCTTTCCTTCCATTCCTGCTTTCCTTCCATTCCTGCTTTCCTTCCATTCCTGCTTTCCTTCCTTTCCTGCTTTCCTTCCATTCCTGCTTTCCTTCCATTCCTGCTTTCCTTCCTTTCCTGCTTTCCTTCCTTTCCTGCGTTCCTTCCATTCCTTCCTTTCCTTCTCTTTCTGCTTTAAGGTAGTTTCACTCTCATTTAACCCCCCCCACCTCTCATTTGCCCCCCCCTTTCATCGTATGAAAAGAGAACACACCGCCCCGCCCCTCCTGGTTGCTGACCAACTTCAGCTGTTAATGCATTTGAACCATTTATCATTTAAGCTGAATGTATTGATGTTGATTTAATGTTACTGCTGTTCTCATCACACCCGCTGCTTTTCTAACAGACATTAGTGAAAGTATTAACATCTGGCCGATCCTGGCCAATCTCATTCAACTAAGGACACTAAATTGATTTCACCTCTGATTTTGAATAAGTTAAATAATTAACTATATAATTCTAGTTTTAGTTCATCATTTATTCACTATCTGCAGGATATTATTTTACAGAACACAGCTCTGTTAATCTAAAGGTTTTAGACTGTTTAAACTGTTCTGTTATTTTTTTGTTTTTCTATTTAATCCCTACAGATCCTTCTACATCTGCATCCACTGCTAAGGATTTCCCATCCACTCCCTCATCAGGCTCCAGCTATCCAGATGGATCAACAGCGCCTCCAACTGACCCAGCTGAATGGTCAGGGTTCCTCTGAGACTCAGAAAGGACAGAGAACAGGGCCAGCGCCGATAGGAGACACCTTAACATTGCCGATGGGAGCGATCTGGCATTAGAGTCTTCCTGAACTTCCCCTTTGAGCTTCTGACATAGCTCTGCCAAAACTAGATGTGGAGCTTTAGCCAGATCTCTGGGTAGCTGTCAGGATGGCCTGCTCTCTGCCTGACAGGACAGGTGCCTCAGCAGAGAGCAGCTTTTTAAGCTCAGATTAACCCTAGCTGTTCTTATATTTGCTTTCATTATTTAAGTGTCTTTTTTTAACATTGTATTTTTGATTATTATTATTAATGTTTTTCTATTTTGGTTTTATTTTAAATATTGAACATTTAACATTTCATTGTATTCAAAAGTTTTAATAAAACAAAGTATTGTGTTTATTTATTTGGTGTATTATTGCCTCTATCGTCATAATGTGATATCTGTGTCAGTAATATTCTAGTGGGGGGGCTGCTTAGGGCCCCCAAGAGGCTGGGGCCGGCACTGATGCTTCTACTTGCGTAGAGGGCGGCCATTTTGGGTCAGACCACCGTTCTGACAGCGCCTGTCTGAACGGTGGTCTGATCCAAGATGGCCGCCCTCTAGGTCCGTCAGCCAGCGTCCAATGAGGCTTCTATGACCCGTAGACGGTCGGTACCTGAGCGCCGCGGGCTCCGGGTGGCCGGTCCCCCGCTGTCCTCTCCGCGGCCATCAGCCTCAGCAGAGCGGACCTCTCCTCCCGAACCCCCCGGTCCTCCTCCACAACTAAGACCTTCGTGGGGCGGCTGAGCGCGGTCTCCCACGTCACGAAGGGGTTCCTGCGGGTGCCTCTGCTCCTGGAGCCGCGGTGGAGGCCGGGGGCAGAGGCCGCAGAAGAGGCGCTCTCCGCGGGACTCTCCGCTGCATTTCGGGCTCTTTTCCTCTTCAGCCGGACGGTGTCGGAGGGCCGCTTGCAGCCGGAGTAGGAGTCGCTCTGCTGGGCCATGTCTGTTTGGTTCTGCCGCCTTCGGCTTCTTCTTCTCCTGCTCCTCAATTGGTTGCCAGGGAAACGGCGCCCTGCCGCCCCCTGCTGGACGGGGGCGTAAAACACTGAAACCTTTTAATATAGATCTGCGATTAAAATGATTAGTTTAATATTTTTACATTCAGTTAATTCAGTTTTTTAAAAAATATACATATATAATAAACATAAATATTACATGTTTTTTGATAGAACTTAAAATTTTCTAATTTATTTTAGTTAACCGTCTGAATCCTCTTAATGATTCTTCCCTAATTCTAACCCGATTTATTATTTTACCAACACACCTTTCATTTCAGTATGGTACGTGTTGTTAAATTATTTTTTTTATTATTAATATGTATTATTACTTTAATTGTTTTCCATAAAATGTTGGGTATGCGTCACGAGTTTCCTGTTCCTGGAATAATCAGCTGATATTCATACAGAACCTATTATATGTGTATTTTTCTGTCTCTAAATTAGAAAAAAGAAAATTCAATAAATCTGGGATAAATGAAATTTCAAATAAATAAATAATAAATTAAAGTAATACATTTCAAATAAAATAAGTACCTTCAATCACAAAACGACCACCTTTAAAGTTTAATTATTTTAATTAACAGTTTGCTTTAACAGAGTTTTTTAAACACTGTTGATTTAGTGAATTTATTTTTCGCAGGTCACCCGCGGCCCAGATGACCTGTTTATCTTTCTGAATCATGAAAGCTGAACACAGCAGGTGGTCCAATCCTCAGGTGATGTTCTCCCTTCTGCAGAGGTTGGTACGCATGGTTGGAATAAAATGCACCTGCTCTACGGAGTTAACTTTGCTCTATTATTGTTGCAAACAGAGAACCCATGATTTAAATGGAAACAAAGGGAAAAAAAGCAATCCAGAAATGAAACACTGAAAAACTCCTCAACCAGAAATAACTGATGTTTTCTTAAATTTTCTTTTATTATCCCATTTTTCCCATTATTTTCTTCCCACTTTTAATTTTTCTAAATATTTTTCCTTTTTTGCGATCAAAAAGGGCGCCTTTTCTCTGAGCTGATGACGATCCTACATCCAAAACAACTTTTTCAATTGTATCGATTTTTATTTTATTTAAAAATTCAGATGCCATTTGCTTAAAAATATACACTCACCGGCCACTTTATTAGGTACACCTGTCCAACTGCTCGTTAACACTTAATTTCTAAGCAGCCAATCACATGGCGGCAGCTCAGTGCATTTAGGCGTGTAGACATGGTCAAGACAATCTCCTGCAGTTCAAAGCGAGCATCAGTATGGGGAAGAAAGGTGATTTGAGTGACTTTGAACGTGGCATGATTGTTGGTGCCAGAAGGGCTGGTCTGAGTATTTCAGAAACTGCTGATCTACTGGGATTTTCACGCACAACCATCTCTAGGGTTTACAGAGAATGGTCCGAAAAAGAAAAAAACATCCAGTGAGCGGCAGTTCTGTGGGCGGAAATGCCTTGTTGATGCCAGAGGTCAGAGGAGAATGGCCAGACTGGTTCGAGCTGATAGAAGGGCAACAGTGACTCAAATAACCACCCGTTACAACCAAGGTGGGCAGAAGAGCATCTCTGAACGCACAGTACGTGGAACTTTGAGGCAGATGGGCTACAGCAGCAGAAGACCACACCGGGTGCCACTCCTTTCAGCTAAGAACAGGAAACTGAGGCTACAATTTGCACAAGCTCATGGAAATTGGACCATAGAAGATTGGAAAAACGTTGCCTGGTCTGATGAGTCTCGATTTCTGCTGCGACATTCGGATGGTAGGGTCAGAATTTGGCGTCTACAACATGAAAGCATGGATCCATCCTGCCTTGTATCAGCGGTTCAGGCTGGTGGTGGTGGTGTCATGGTGTGGGGAATATTTTCTTGGCATTCTTTGGGCCCCTTGGTACCAATTGAGCATCGTTGCAACGCCACAGCCTACCTGAGTATTGTTGCTGACCATGTCCATCCCTTTATGACCACAATGTACCCAACTTCTGATGGCTACTTTCAGCAGGATAATGCGCCATGTCATAAAGCTGGAATCATCTCAGACTGGTTTCTTGAACATGACAATGAGTTCACTGTACTCAAATGGCCTCCACAGTCACCAGATCTCAATCCAATAGAGCATCTTTGGGATGTGGTGGAACGGGAGATTCGCATCATGGATGTGCAGCCGACAAATCTGCGGCAACTGTGTGATGCCATCATGTCAATATGGACCAAACTCCCTGAGGAATGCTTCCAGCACCTTGTTGAATCTATGCCACCAAGAATTGAGGCAGTTCTGAAGGCAAAAGGGGGTCCAACCCGTTACTAGCATGGGGTACCTAATAAAGTGGCCGGTGAGTGTATGTATGGAGTTTTGTTCCAGTATTTCTGAAAAGCAAAGAACACGTTTTGTGACCGAAAAAAAAAAAAAAAATTCAGAAAATAACCTTTCAAAAAACGTTTTTAACGATAAACATTTAACAGATAAATAAATGTTTGTGTTTTCGTAGATTTAGTTTTTTAAGGCTTTCATACGTTGGAATCTGTCTTTTTCAATCACTTTTTTCTCCAATTGCGTTCTTCTTTTCACTGAGGGCGGGCTTTCCTGTGCCGCGAGGAGCGAAGAGGCATTTCTATTGGTCTGCTGGGCGTTAGCAAACACTATTGGCTGCACAATAATAATAAAAAATCACTTTTTATATCTCAATCTGTAAAAAAAAAAAACTAAATGTTTAAAAATGAATATGTGAATGAAATAAGATTATTTAAAAGTGTAACGTTATGAAGAATTTTTTTGAAGAAGTTTTTTTCAGAATAATTTTATTTATAAAATGTGCTTTGTGCAACAATACTGGAACAAACTTCACTCCATATTCCTCCACACACACACCAGAAATTCCTTTTAGGCCAGACTCATGGAGATAACTTATTGTCCAGTCAACCTGAGCTGTGGATTTCTGCATCTCCTCCAGAGTCACTGCACACATCTTAGCTGCTTCTCTGAGTTCTCTTCTTTCCTCAGATCCTAAAGTGTTCAGATAGTCTGTAAAAAACATCATAGTGTGAAAGAAACACTAGTTTGTGTCCCGACCATCTTCTAATGACATTCCAATAAAGGGGTCTGGTTACCACCGGTGCAGAGCTTGTTTGCCGATTGCAGCAGGGAGCTGTGAGACTAGATTTCCCATTTATGCTAATTTCTGTGTGCCGGCCTTGTTTCCAGGAGAGCAACCTCTTTTATAAAGAGAAAAAAAAAACTTTAGGAGCAGGAAAGGGAAATTACCTCATAAGCAACTATCAAACATCATAACTCTGATCCAGGAGCCATATGCTAAGTCAGTTCTATTCAGTTTATTTCTATAGCTCCAATTCACATCATGTCATCTCAGGTCACTTTCCAGTTCAACCAGATCATCCAGTCAGATTGATTCAAAGTTTTCTATCTAAGGAAAACCAGCTGATTGCATCGACTCATTGACTCTTCAGCAATCCCTCACACTAAGCATGCTTGTAGCGACAGTGGAGAGGAAAAACTCCCTTTGAACAGGAAGAAACCTCCAGCAGAACCAGGCTCAGTGTGAGCGGCCATCTGCTGAGGCCCACTGGGGTTCAAGGAGACAGAAGCAGACGTAGAAAAAGAAGCATAGGAGTGGGACAAAACAGATAGAATGAAGCGGAATGATGAAAAAGGGGTCCCTATGTCCTCCAGCAGTCTAAGCCTATAGCAGCAGAACTATAGAGATAGTTCAGGATAACCTGATCATTTTGGTTGAGGTATTAGAAAGGTCGAGCCACAATGTGGCCAAGGAATGAACCACCAGTTAAAAATACAGATACTGTATGTAAATATATTCCTTTATTAATAAATGCGTTTTCCTTCCAAACCTATATTTAGTTTAACATTTCATAATTTAATTGTGTATAACATAAATAAATGACATTCATAGTCATTGAATAAACTATTTTATGTTACAGTTATAGCCCTCCATAAACCTTAGCAATCCTCCCCCATGTGATGTCTTAAGACCCGCAGGAGACCCTGAACCCCACTTTGAGAATCCCTGCAATAGTTTTACTTCATTACCAAAATACTAAACTTAAAACGATTAAAACGAAGGATGGGTTAATGTTGGTTAGGATTTATGCCTGAATTTAACATCTGGAATACTGGGACCATTATTTTAGAGGTCTTAAAAAAAGAAAAACTTGCACAAACCTCTTTTTTTTGTGCATAAAAGTGTACGACTTCTGAAATATTTATTAGAAAACATCAGAAAATAAAACTCCTGACCATGAGATCCAAAAAACGACGAAAGAAATACTGCTAAATAAATCCAGTGGGTTAATGTCTGGAGATGTGGGAAATAAAACATAGAGGTGTATTTAGAGGTGGAAATTCTATCACTAGTTGTGATGGTGAGATGAAGCCTCGTGAGGCGTTGAACACTTTAGGCAAATTGCTTCAAAAAACCACACATTTCATATTAAGAGAAATGTCGCCACCTACCCATGTCACCCATAGAAGATGAAGATGGATTGGTCACACTGTGAGAAGAGAGGCCAGACCTTCAATGGAAACTTGGAGGAAGTGCAAGGTGAGAAAAACCAAGTAACACCTGGCGCCAAACTGTGGAGGCGGAGCTTAAAACCATGCAACACACCTGGAGTACCATCCTGGACCTGAACCGACAGACGGGACAATCGTTTGTCAATGACCTATGGTCGTTATGCTGAGAGGGAACTTACTTTCTGCATGGAGTTAGCATGTTCTCCCTGAGCATGCGTGGGTTCTCTCTGGGTACTCCGGCTTCCTCCCACAGTCCAAAAACACGACTGTTAGGTTAATTGGCTTCTCTAAATTCTCCTCAAGCGTTAAGGCTGATTTATGCTCAGAAACCAGGTTGTCTGCATGTGTTGGAGTTAATGCAGATATGCCCCGCCCCTTCTGCAGACAGACTGCTGCACCTCTCCATACTTGTAGGTGACTGCATACAGGAGGCCTCTGATTGGTCAAATCTACATCCGCTCTACACTATGCGTATTTCCTGTTTGGTACCTTACCAGCTTGTTTTGTTTCTATGACCGCCATTGTGGAAAACGACTCGTGAAGTTGGACCAGCTAGAAGAGCGAGGTGCGCGAGAACGCTGGGACCCTTTTTCCACCTGGATCCCCGCTCTTTTTGGCCCTCATGTCCCTCCATTGTCACACAAGCCTCCCCCACTTCCTCACCACCTTGGCCGAATCTGGACCCACAGCTGGTTCCTGATTGGCCCTCTGGCATTGTGGCATGGAATAACATAGGGCAGACCACGCTTTAATACTGCAACACTGCTGCGGGCGGATAACCAGCCCTTGAGTGCGTGCGTAAATGGATGTGTGTCTCTGGTTTTCCCTGCAACAGACTTGCGATCTGTCCAGGGTGTGTCCCACCTCTTGCCTATAGACAGCCAGAGATAAGCACCGCCCCACCGCGACCCTGACAAGGACTAAGTGGGAGAAGATGGCTGGATGTTTCATGGAATTCCAATGGCCACGGAGAAGACTCGCACCTTTCCAAAGCCGGGCATACAATGTACGATGTTTTGCCTTTTTCGGGCCAATTCTCTACTCCTGATCATGCATCCTGCATGGTGTAGTATACAGGGAGTAACAGTCGGCCGTCTTAAGGTGGTCGTGGGTAAATCCTGCTGTTGAAGCAGAGCTACGCACCAATTTACCAGAACTTCGAGAACTGCGCTTGCGCAAACAGGGGAGTTCTTCTACTTCCTCCAGATTTACAAGTTCGAGCAGCGCCATCTCTTGGCGCTGAGTCGGACGTGGTTTCTAGACGTACATTGTGAGCAGGTAGATCGCACAGTGTGAGAACAAACATCATGAGCTGTGAACTTTGTCGTACAGTTTGAGCTGTAGCTGCGTGCAACGATTAAAAATATCGCACAGTGTGTGCCCGGCTCAAGACTTTGTTTTCACTTGTTAGTTGACTGGAGTCATTTAGTTCATACTTTTTTCATTTGTCATGGTTTTACGCTGAAAGCTCCAGGGATTGTCTCCAAGTCCTACCCTCTTTGACTCACGGTTGACTCATCATTAATATAAATATTTGGTTAAAATTAGACTGTTAATCAATTACCCGTAACAATAACTAACATGATTAAATATCTGATTATTATGAATATAAGAAAATAAGAATCAGCTTTTATCAGTCAGTTATAAAATAAAACAAATAATTTATTGAGAGTTGCAGCTTGATAAAAATGATCCTTATCAGGACCGGGTCTCACGTAGGCAGCAGGCTGAGCAGAGACTTCCCTCTCCTACAGCTCCAACCCTGAGACTCTGGGCCTCCTCTGGGCCTCCTCCAGGCGGGACTTACCTGGAACATTAGAGAAGCGTCCACAGATGTCTGGCCTCGGCTTTCCCAGGTCTAGACCCAAACAACGACTTACCCTTTTCACTCAGACACTGGATCTGGATGTGTGTGAAGTAAAACTCTTTTATTTTTTTAAGAAACTTCTAAAACACTTCATTTAGTGACTAGTTTGAACAAGCTGGTGTGTCGTTTCAATGGTAATAAAAACACACAGTGAACCGGAGGGTAGCTGCTTCCACCGTCCCCCCGTTTCGTGTTTTTCGTCTTCGGAACCAACTGGAGAATCTCTCCATACTAATCATAGACACCAAAGTCCAGGTTTTTCTGAGTTCAGCAACATGTTTTGCTCTTCCTTAGCAGATCCAAACGTTTTAAGAAGTTTCAGCCATTCTGCGACGTTTTCAGAAGACGGATCAGAATAGTTGGTTCTAACAAGAGGAAGCCAGAAACATTAAAAGCTGGAGTGGACTCCATGTCACAGAGTGAAAGACTTTGGTTTTGCTCCCTCGACTGAAAAACGTAAATGTTGTGAAGACTCGAAGCACTAATGTAGGTGAATCCGCTTTCGGCAGAGTATCTCAGGTGAGTCAGTACGGTCTCCATACGGCTTCAGCCGCAGCCATGTTTGTTGGCGAGCTACTGTGGCTGGATTCCACCTCCACACCTACTCCTTCGTTCTGATTGGGCAAAGAAGGGTGTAGAAGAGAAGACCCCGTGGAGGCAGTGGTGCAAGGCGGGAAGATACGAGGCGGAGAGTGCGAGTCACTGTTGGCCCCTCCCCCGGCCATCATAGAGAACTGGTACGAGCCGGTGGTGGTGGAGTAGTACAGATGATAGGGGGACGAAGTGGACTGGAACGGCCCGTTCTGAGCTTGGTGAGGGGTGTTGGCAGGGTAAGGTGGAGGCAGGTAGGTGTGGTACCGTCCTGTTTGGGTGGACGCCATGGCGGTGGCCATGGTGATGCTGATAGCGCCGTTAGAGACCGGGTTGTGTGTTGGAGTGTAAGTGAATGCAGCTCCTGTAGGAGGGTAGTGCACCCGAGTGTTGGAGAAACGGGATTCAGGCAGGGAGGGGAGGGAACTGAACGGCCGTTCCAAAGCCATCCGCGGATCACCAAAGGCCGCGAGGTCCGGACCTACGTGAAAAAAAAAACAAAGGTCATTGATTGGTTTAAGCTTGTTTAAACTCAGATGGTTGGATGAGGCTTTACCTGAAAGCCTTGAGGAAAGCTCACCAAGAGAGGAGCGAGCAGGTGAAAGTGGACCAGCTGTGTGAACAGCTGGAGTAGTGATCTGGCCGAGGTAAGGATACGACTGATCGTAGCTCCAAGATGGAGAAGACTGGATCTGTCTGGAATCTGGGAGGAACCAAGTCACACATGAAGGTCAAGACATTGAAGTAAAGTTAAAGCCATATCAGAAAAATAAATGATATAATTTACAATTTCATTACCTTCTCTACCATGAACATGAGGTCCTCACCACTCTGACTGACAATTAGCATCTAAGGCTACGTTCACACTGCAGGCCTTAATGCTCAATTCAGATTTATTTGTAAAATCCGATTTTTTTTTCGTTTTTGCGTTGCCGTTTGCATTTCCAAATATATGCGACTTGTATGTAATCTCCTGTGAGAACTGCAGTCATACGACGCAAGTGTCCCTCATGTGCAATAGAGGACGCCATGATGTCACAGGCCAGCGGCTCTGTGTTGACAGAAGTAAACGTGGATGGTAGCGCCGGAGCGCTTGTAGCGATCTTTCCCAAGCTTGAAAACTTTTCAAGATGGTTAAGCATAGACACTGCTCTCCGCATCATCGTCCGCCATGGTTGTTGTTTTTCTTGCCGCTTCTTCATGGCAAGACGCATAATAGTGACATTTTGTCGGGTATTAATGGCGTTCAGGTCGGATTCATCCGACCTGGCCGTTCAGACTCAGGTCGCATTGGAAAATATCAGATCCCTATCGGATTCAGGAGCACATGGCGAAGTGGCCTGGGTCGCATTGAAAAAAATCGGATCCGTGTTGTTCAGACAGTTCTGAAAGGATCAGATCCAGGTTGCATATGGGCCAAAAAAATCTGATTTGGGTCACTGCAGGCTGCGGTGTCAACAGAGCCTTAGTCACTATGATCTACTCAAAGTTTAGGCCCAGAAAGGAGTAAAAGGCAGACAAACCACCCAAGTCATTCAAGAAGAGGGTAATGCTCTAGCGCAGGGGCAGGCAATTCCAGTTCCTGAGGGTCGGTATCCTGCAACTTTTAGATGTGCCTTTGGTTCAATACACCTGAATCAAGTAATTAGATGATTAAGAGGGATCTGGAGGAACTGACTGCATCCTGAGGAGGTCATTCCACCATTTCATTCAGGTGTGTTGGACCAAGGATGGATCTAAAAGTACAGAATGGATGCTTGATATCTCAGCCTATTTCTATCTCTTTCTGCTTATACTTTCAGAATCCAGGACTTCTGAAAGTATTTATACAGCCGACACTGACGTCTCACATCATAAGCTTCAGTGAAACACATAATACTGCTCAACTGATGGAAGTGATGGCTTGATTTTCTTCCTTCTCTCTCATCTCCTTGTTCCTGCTCTGCTTTCTATGCCTTTAAAAAAGAATAGGAACTAAAGCAAATACTTCAAATAATATTTTACTTTTGAGATGTCTATCAGTAGTTCCTAATTATCAAAAAAAACCTTTCTGTGGTTACAATGGTGACGCATCATGACAACAAAACCTTATTCCACAAACATAGAAACTGAAGTTCATGATCGAACAAGCACAGCCTCCAGAAGCAGCTCAATTAGAGTTTTTCATAGGGGACATTCATTCTTCTTGTGTCTTTTCTCCATTATGCTAAAAGCAAAGCAAGGCATCAATAAGTATGGGTGAAATGCTACAGTTCAATTGAAGAGGCTTTTAAACTGGGAAGCATCAAAATACTTGTGTAATGGTTTAAATGAACTAAGTCAAGCAAAATTGTTTTCTGTAGAAATAGCACATTTCCTGCTAAATGACTGCAATATATTCAAAAACAAGCGTTCATACAAAGACACTCTATAAAACTATCTTTGACGAGAAAAGGATGGCTTTCAAATAAGACTGTGAATCTGTATCTATGTATGATTGTATGAAAGTCAATGAGAAAGGAAATAAAGTATTTGGATAAGGATGTAATGCTAGACTCTGGCTGCATTAGGAAGGGCCCCGGCATCAAACCTTGGCCAAATATGTGCAGACCCCTGCATATAGGATCATTTGGTAGTGCTAAGGTATACACAACTTGATCAACTCCTTGATAAGACCTGAGGAACTAATAGGAAGTAAGCCAGTACCTGCTGCGGAACACCCAGCGCAGCCTTCTAATGGGACTATTGCCTGAGCCTGGCACTGATGAACTGTTGTGTAAAATGGGTTATTTTATTTAAATATATATATATAGTGTTAGAACTATAAATACAGTCATATGATTATATTACTATTTTTTTATGTATTTATTACTGTTTTTCAAGGCTTCACTTTAAAAAATGAAATTGTCTAGAGCTGTTTTAAACAGAATTTATTTTTGTATACATTTGTGTATAAAAAATGACAAAATAAATCTGTCTTGTTGGGGTTCCAGTTTGTGGGGTTGTTTTTGTTCTTTTTCAGTGTCTCCATGCATCCACCAGATGGTGCCATTGTTCCTCTGTTGGCCTGGAGGGTCTGTTCCTGCTCTCTACAACTCACACCTGCAGCTCGTTGGTCATCACCGTCTGAGCAGTATATGAGCAGCAGACTGTCACCATCTCCTCGCCAGAGTGTTTGCCAGTATTGGTTACTCTAGCCTCTCTGAGATTAGCAGAGTCTAACCTTTTGAGTTTTTGACTCTTTGAGTCCAAGGTTCTAACCCTTTGTTCTCTTTTAGTGATCTCCGGCAGGATTATCACCTGATCCTCTGGAAAAGCCTCATCGTTCAAGCCTTGGAAGGAATCAATTTGTCTCACTGTGAAAATGGAAAACATTCACCTGACCAGTTCACAGACCTCTTCATGTAAGCTTGTGACAGTCCGCTCTGCTGCTCCTCTGGACCACAATAAGTCTGCTTGTCCGCCCTCCACTAACTTATATCCATATCTGGACAACCTCCCCCACAAATAGGAACCAAGGAGCTTCCACAAACTATTACTGTGAGTCCATTTCTGCTATTCATCTGCATTGGCTTATTTTCCCATGGACCCTGAACTCACCACTCTGACCTCCCTCTAGAGTTTCCGGTTCTGGTTCACCTGACCGCTGGATGTTCCCCATGTTGAAAGTCCCCTTTGTTTAGTCTCTCTGAGTTCCACACCATACAATAAACTGTTTAACTTTTACCCTGCCTCTGAGTAGTTTCTACATGTGGGCAAACTTTGAAACCTATCATGACAAGTCTAAGTCTAGGGGAAACACAGAGTATCTAAGCAGGATCTAATGGGTAGCTTCACTTTATTTTAGTTTAACCAAAAAAACATTAGCTGATGGCCAGGTGCTGATTGGGTATCAGTATTAGATGTAGTTTAATTCATGTAAAGCTCTTTGAATTGTGCATGTACTGATTTTTGCTATACAAATAAACTTCCCTTGCCTTGCCCAAGGTAGTTATTATTCCCTTAGTAACTTCTTTAGTTCCATGGCTATTAGTTCCTTATTATCAACTATTTGTTTCCTTAGTAACTATTTGTATCCTTAGTTACTACTCATTAGTTCCTTATTAGTTACTCTTTGTTTTCTTAGTAACTAGTCATTAGTGCAGTAATCCCATATTAAGACTGGGCGGGTTGTGCCCTAGTAATTACCTGTTAACCAGCCATTAATTCTTGATAGGTTTCCTGGCCGTCCTCTAGAATGTTGTCAATTGTTGTTTACCTTATTATAAAGTGTTACTGCTGTTTGTTTTGGGGGATAAATCGTGCTGCCTGATGTAACTCTGTTAATGTCTTAGTGTTTGTTTTTGTGATGAGTGCGGCTTATGCAAGTTTCTTTGCCCCCGGGGACAAAAAAGTAGTTTCAGTTCAATTAAATCTCAATTCAGTTCAGAGAGGTCAGCCTAATGGCTTTTCCAGGAAAACAGCTTCTGTTGTGTTGATAAAGAAGATGTTAAAGGATAGAAGTCAGACTTTTGAATCTGAAAGAATATTAAAGGCCTGAAAGAGTCAACCAGAAGAGGGGAATCTGTGAAGCCAAACCGAGGACCAACCGAGGGGCAACCAGACCAGGCAAGCGGAGAATATCCTTAAGTCCAATAGATCCTCTTCACAGCAGGGGGCAACGCTTCCCTGGCAAACTTAACCTGCTTTAAGGCACCTGCTCAGACCAACCATTTACCTGCTGATTCTCATTGGTTGGGAGAATCTAAGGTCCTGAGATCAGATGGCCAATCTTTAAGACGATAAACTGGTCGTTATTCCTCTACCACCCTGTACCGAGTCCTCAACCACTTTTTTTTATGCACTCCTCCCTAGGAAATAGATCATCCTCAATGGTCTTCCATGCATCTTGATCCTAGGCCAGTCTTTCCTCCCTAAATAAGAGCTGGCCTCTTGGTGCTACACCTCTCGCTACCTGGTGTTTCTCGGTTGGTCTCTCTACCCCTTGGGTCATTGTATGCTAAATCGTTCTGGAAGAGTATGGCGCCTCCGTCGCGTCTGGAGTATTTCTTGCCCCATCGGCTGCTGCTTTGAGTTCCTGTCAGGCCTGCTAATACCCAAGAACACCCTTGATTGGAGGTGTCTGCCTCTGCCACAATGCTGGTGCCTCTGTCAAGTAGTTCTAACTAGTGTTGCACTGATACCAATACCAGTATGGTATAAGGTGGGGCCCCGATCCAGCACCAAAATGGTGGTATCAGTATTGGTGAGTACCAACAAATAGAGCACCGATACCATTTTGAGAGGAAAAGTTTACTCAGCTATTGTCACCCATTCCAGGTAGGCAATAAAAAGTTCTACTGGACTCTCTATTCCTGCTTCATAAAGGTAGGCAGCACAGCCAGGTACCGGGGCCAATAAATGGCATCGGAGCAATGACACTAGTTTTGACACCGACTCTATGGAGGTAGCTAGGTAGGGATCATGTTTCAACAGCATTGGTGAAATAGCGTTAGTGCTGTCCCTTATCATTCCTCTGGTGGCAAATCTTGGTATGCCAGCGATGAGAAAACATAATCACCTGGTTTAACAGTCTGAGGATGGGTTAGGCTTAAAGGTTAGGTTTAACAGTCTGAGGATGGGTTAGGCTTAAAGGTTAGGTTTAACAGTCTGAGGATGGGTTAGGCTTAAAGTTTAACAGTCTGAGGATGGGTTAGGATTAAAGGTTAGGTTTAACAGTCTGAG